CTGTCCCCATTCGACGGCCCCTTTTGCGGAAAGTCCCAGCAGTAGTAGCTGCTTCGACCTGAATCAAGCGAAGAAGTCGCAGCCTGAGGAACATTCGCTGGACTACAGCAGCCAGGACTCGAATCCGGTGGACTACAGCAAGGGTCTGAAAATGGTGGCCGCTGAGCAGAGGGCTCTGCCAGTCACGCCCGCGCCTCAGGATGAAAACAACAATCGTGGACTCCAGTCACAGGCGCAGGCGCAAACGCCGATTCCAATCCAGGTGCAAAGTCAGATACAAGGCCAGACATCGCCGCATGCAGATGCCGCCGCTCCCAGCGAACTGAGCTACGAGGAGGATCGCAACAAGGTGTGCGCCAATGTCCTGGAGCAGTACAAGCAGCAGCTGAAGGCGCACGTGCAGCAGCAACCAGAGTCGGCCAATGGAGTTCTGGTCCTGCCGCCCCACTATGTTCAACTGGCGGCGGCCCTTGGCCTAAGTGCCCAGCCCCTGGTGGATCCGATTGCTACTCGAACGGATTTCGAGCGGTTGATCGAGTTGCAACGGGTTCAGCCACATTTGGCCGGCAAGTTGAGTCCCAGTTTTCCGGGAGGCTTGGAGGCTGCTCATGTGGCTGCCGCTGCAGCGGCTTATGCCAACAGCATGGCGGTGGCCGCTTCCGCAGGAGCCACCGTTGCCGCCATGGCCACTTCCGGTGCCGGAACGCCAACGGTGCACCAAGAGAGACCTGCCTCGGTGGCAGCGTCTGTCAGTTCCGGCGTCTCGATCTCGGAACTTAAGTCCATGCCCGCCACGCAGCAATCCTCACCAAGATCCGAGAGTGGCATCGGTTCCAATGAGAACGAGGCTCCGGTGAGCAGTCCGCGACCCCAGACAAGCAACGCCGCTCGTCAGGCTCTAAGGCAACGCCAGGAGGAGGAGTATCACTACATGGCCCAGGCGGCAGCTGCTGCAGCAGCAGCTGGACAGGATGAGAGCATGTGGCGGCCCTGGTGAACCGTTGGGTCAGAGATCCTATGTACTAAGTATGTGGACTCCACCAGTTAGTTGGGGACGAACCAGCCGGCAGCCGGCGGTTTGCAGCTCCAACTGATCGCCAAGTAAAGGATGACACCTATTGTTATTACCGCTCGTCTGTGTAGCTCCTGCTCCTCTCCGAATTGCATTTCATACCTGTGCCAACGCCCAAGACTCTCTACCAGATGGGCTCCAGAGCCAAGGAGAGCTACCCCTTAATTTATGTGTGCATTTGTTTTTGCCCTCAACTCTGCGTTAAATGTATTTAATTCAATACTTAAAGCTAAATATTTACAAAAACACTGTTTTTTAAAGGTGGTCGGTTACGGGAAAAATTTACGTTCTTGTTTTTGGTAATTCAATTGAAATTTATTAGGGTATGTACTATAAATACGATATAGATCCTTGCGGAGGTCCAATAAATACTTGTATTATATATTAGTTATATAAATTCTCAAACAAGAAATGAGACTTAGCCTACTCTTCAGGTTCATGCTTTCTACTTTGATTTCATTGCACTTAGGGATTTGCGAGGCGCGGACTGCCGCTGGCGGGCAAGGAATGTCTGACCCGAGCCCATCAAGATTGCCAGCTTAGAGTCGATGGCATCGCGCTGGGCGTTGACACCCAGTCTGTAGAAAGCGGAGGTCATAAGCTGCTCCTCCATTACACTCATCTTGGGCTTCGGCTCCTCCTCGACGAGATCAGAACTCTTTTCCAGGACACTAGCATCTAGAGCTGTTATTTCAACAATTATTGTAAATCTATGTAATACTTTTAAACCCTTACCACTTGCAATTCGCGGATCTATGCTTTTGATCACCTCCTTAGCTTTCTCCACGCACTTTCGGTATTTGGCGTCATACACCAGAATTTCCTGCTCACGCGCTGATAAATTGGTTTCCAGCTGAGTCACCTTACATTGCAGAGACGTGCTTTGGGTAACTGCTTCCTCCAGTTGGAGTGCTGTGTTGATATAAAATATTAGAAGGCGTATTGTTTTATGGCAGTAGTCATGACTCACTCTTTTGTTCATTTAGCTCCATCAATTGTTTGATTTGTTTGCCAAACTCGCTCCTGTGATGAAATAAAATATTTGGGAAGAGAATTAGATATTCAATAGTAATAGTTAAAAACGTGAATTATTTACTCTTTTAAAATGGGATCATCGCTTTGAGAAGCATGCGACAGGGAAAGAATGCGTTCATTGGCTGTCTTTAGCTGTTCACGCAAATTCTCGCAGCGTTTATTGGCATCGTCCAGAAGTTGCTACAACAAATATAAATTAATATTCGTATTAATATAAAGTTGCCAAGTTATGTTATCTCATATTACTAACCGCCAAAGCTGTCTGGCCACCCTGTCCCTCGCGCAGAGCTTTGTTCTCCGCCTCCAGACGCTGTAGCTTTTCCACTGTGGCCGACGGTTGCATTTCTCGGGAAACTGTGGTGCCAGTCAACGCTGTGTTTGAAGACAATTGTCCGCATTTCAGCTCGTCGACTGCCTCCCGAAGGTTATCGCGCTCCTTGAGCAAACTGTCCTTGGCCCGCTGCAGAGCCAGGTTTTTGCCCTCCAAATTTTTGTTATCAAACTCCAACTTTACATTCTTGCTGCTCTCGGCGTCCAGCTTGGCATGAAGGTCTTGAATCTCTTTCTTAAAGAGCTCTACTTGACCTTTGGTATTGGCATATCGTTTGGCATCCTCCTCAAACTGCGCATTCTGTTGCACATAGTCGGCGCTCCGCTCCTCCAGAATTTTCACCTGTTTCTTCAGGTCGTTATAGTCTTCTAGCTTCTTTTTATACGTGTCAAGCTGGGCTTCACATATCTTAAGCTTGTCGTTGGACTCCCGCAGAACATCCACTTCATCTTTCAGAGTGGTCACTTCAGCGGAACTTTTCTGTATTTAACAAAAGTATGTTAACATAAAATTCAAATTAAATCGTAATGTCCGTACCATTAGCTCCTCTATGCGCATTTGCATGTGTAGTAGATCGGTATCTTGTTGCTGGGCCTTGAGTTTTAGGTCTTCCCGAGCTCCTTCAGAGTGCAGAAGTTCCTCTTTTAGTAAGTCCAATTGGCGCCGCAGTTCGTTGTAGCGTACAGACCCAGTTTGGACTGGTCCCAAAGAGACTCCATCATCTCCGATCACCGTGGAGTGCTGCTCTAGACGGGAAAACTCTTGTTGCAGCTTATGCAACTCCTGTTGAAGATTAGTTTTTTCGTCTATAAGAAGGAGCATTTTCTTCTCCGTCTCGAAGCATTTCTGTGCCAAGGCGTCGCGATCCTCCTGAACTGCCTTGCTGTCCAGGTTTCCGGTGCGAGAGCTACGAGACAAGGAACTGACTACTCCGCCCTCTGCCGAGGATGCTTGCCTGGTGGCCTCAAGTTCCTGAAGAGCACGCATAATGTTTGCCTGCAGTTCCTCCTCCAGGCACATAATCTCCGTGATGTACGACTGCTTCTCTGCACAGTTCACGGCGCAACCAAGGACTAACTGCAGCAGCCGTTCCAGCTCTCCCAAGTCGCACTTCTCAGCGATACTCTGCAGATCTGGCTTTGAGAAATCACTCAGCGAGTAGTTGAGTACGTCGCTGTAGTAGTCGTACACGGACTGGGTCACCTTTTTCAGATTACTCATCCGCAGACGCCAGTTGCTGCCCACGGCGCTGGCCTTGATCTTGGAAAGCCAAGCGTCGGTGAAAGATTCGGGGGCGAACTGGTTGAGAGCCTGTAAATAAAAGCTAATAGATATTTATGAACTATGTATATATGCACATCTAGTTACCTGAGCAAGTGCGACTCCATCGGCCAGGGATTCCGCATCCGCATGCGGTGCATTTAGATTGAGAGTCTTGAACCACTCCAGCAGACTGTAGTACATCTCGTTCTTGGGCGCGGACATGTTGCGGGTTTGAACGAAACGCTAAACGAAACAAAACAAACTAAAAATATTCACAATTTCACAAAAAAAGAGCTCTCAGCTGTTGCACTAAACAAAAACAGAAATCGAACTGCAGAACAGCAATCGAGAGCCTTTGCGATGCACTTTCTCTATCGATAGAAAACATCGATATTATTTATCAACTTGTTAACATCAAACAAGTGTAAAATATTTATTTTTTTATTAAAATATAAATAAGTTAAGATTTAAATTAAAATTAATTCATTTTATGCTAGTGCCTTTTTAATTTTGTTTTTGCAATTAAAACCAATAACATTGAATTATTGGCATAGACTAATGCTAATAAAAATAATTTGTAATATATTCTTTTAATCATTGTTTATATTAAAGTCAATTGCCATGGCCGAACCACGCCCACCGTCTAGAGCCCTTTGCATGCACTGCTCCGCCCACTTCAGCTTCTCATCCTGCTCTTCAATCTTATTCACTGGAGTCCAGCTCAAATCGTATTCCAATCTGTAACTACCTTTGAATGTTTGATCAACAGAAAGATTCCATTCCTAAAAGTACATTGAAATTAATAATTGGTTTTCAAAATTATTTTTAAGCAAAATTTACTTCCGGTGATAACATGCTGAAATAGGTTTGACCCGATGCCCTTTGATAAAGATGATAGATTTGTCCGGGTTTTTTGGTGAAATTGCAGGCCGCACTGTGCAGATCTCGGTTGAGATTGGACTCCTTGAGTATCTCCATGGCTTGGGACTGAAGCATTTTGATCTATCAAAGACTTATTAGTTTATATTATTATTGTTAAAGAGGAGTAGGCATTACCTGCTCCATTATGACCCCCAGCTTATGGCAAGTGGTGTTTTTCAATTGCTTGTCAGCATTCTGGATTTGTTGTGCCAATTCGATGATATCCTCCTCCTGGTGCATGGATACACGCATTGGGTTGATCTGCAACTGGGGATTCCTCTCAACCAGTTGAGCTAAAAATAAGATAATATTTATTTGTTTACCTCTCAGGACGTATATCAGAAAAGCTTACCCTTTTTTACAGCTGTCTGATACGTTAATTGGTCCATTTCGGCAGCTCTTTTCATCACACGCTACCGAGCATGAATAATAATAACTAATCACACTGTGGTAAACAACTATGTAAATTTATGGACTGCCAAGAACAAAATAACATGTGTTCCTTATAGCTGATATATCTCCACCAGGTATCGATTGCCTTACGTCTTATCGATCACTATCGAATACATATGTCATTTTGCACGCCCGTCTCTAGATAGAAAGAAGAAGCAAACCAAATTGTAGTTTTATTTTATAGTGCTAGCGAAATAGTGAATTTTGGTCATTTAACTATCAAATTGTAATGTGCAGGAGAAATTAGCCATAAGTGCGGTAGTGGCGTGTTAGAATAGTGCGAAAAACAAATCGCGTTCGAGTGAACTATGATCCTTTTGGATACCGGAGCAACGGTGTCACTGAATTTCAGCAAAAGGAAACAATAAATGCCCAATTAAAAGCGCACGCGCGCTTAAAATGCACCATTAAAGGCTTGAGAATTTCAAGTTTTTCATTCCAAACAGCTGGAACAACTCGCAATTTGTATTGGTAAGCCCCAAAACGCAAACCAAGCCCCCAATAATCGCTTTTCACATACCCAATTTTGCATCAGTATATACGTAAAATACATATATACACATATTTATATATATGTGCGATGTCAAATCGGGCGTGAGTGTGAGTGCTTGGACTTTCGTAAACAACACATGCGGGTCGGTTCCTTGAATGACTTCGCTACTTGACCAAAAAGTGACATTTACTGCTCTTATCAGCGGGACGTTGAGGAATCAGAATCACACTTGGAATCGGAGTTCCAGGCGGTACATATGTGCATATATCCGTCTTATCGGCATGCGTCATGCGAGCTTCCACACCACAAAACCTCGGACTGCCAGAAACCGAAGCGCTGGCGATCGGGAAACATATCTGGCATTTGAATGGCATTTCCTCCCCACCGTCACCGCAAATATAATGCGAAGGGTCAACAAAGACATTTTAGGAGTTTTGTTACAGAAATCTCAAGAACATTTTAATTCTGCTGCAGTTTTCTGTGAAAAGCGAAATTTCTTGCTTAGGATTAAACCACGGCAATGTATTGAAAAATACTCTTAGAGACCTTTTTATGTTTTGAGCCTACAAAGACTTCTGAGGTGACCCCGATATGCTCCTCTCCTTTTTAGTCATGCGCTGACGGGGCCGCCATTTAGTTGACCCAATTATCAGCCAGGTCCCATCAAACTCCGTGCTCCAAGTATTGTCAAATGTCACATTAAGCTGTCTTCCTTGCAGGCTGAAACGGATTACATAAATTGAGCTAACCAAACGCCATGCGAGCCTCCATTCCCCCTGGCATTCGAGTGGTGCGCGGACCCAACTGGATCTGGTCGAATCAAGGTAAGAACGCATTCAGGCAGCCACAGGCAGGCTTGTTTACTTTCACCCACCTCCAAAGAGGCGAATTAACTTGCCATCCGCTCTCTGTTTATAGATACGGTTGGTTTTGTTATATAGTGCAGACCGAAATTGGCGTACGGTGGGCACTAGTCGGTGGGGAAGTCGTCTACTTAAGCATTCATTTGGGGAACACCCATGGTTAGTCATATATTCTCCGGAAAATAACCATTTTCAGTAGCACATCTATATCTTTAAGAGCAAGAAAAGTCGGCTACGATCGGCTCATATTTGACCCTAACAGCTGTATGTTTTTGATCCAATTTTATTTGCATATATTTGATTTTTGTTCTATAATATTTTGTATAATCTGAGAGAGACCTATTCTGGTGAAATGGTTTAAAGGGAATCACATCGTGGTCAATACTTACTGTATACCCAAAAAGCAATTCACTTGGCATTGGCACCAGTAGAGGGTCGGCGGAGCAGGAGAATTGGTGTGGGGCAGAGGGACGGGACGAGACGGAGAGGTGTACGTCCGTGTCCGCTGCTGCTGCTCTGGGCGTTGTTGAATGTAAAGAGGACGCGCCCCGCTATTTTTAGCAACACTCACTGCGGCAGCAGCGAAATTCTTGCGCTTACCAATTGCTTCTGCTTTCGTCGCTTCGTTTTATGGTTCATATATATATGGCGTATATATTTGGATGTGTAGGTCTCGATAGTACATACAGTAAGGCACCCTACGTGGCAGGTAAATAAATATGTAAGCTCGTAGGCAGCTGCCGGCCAAACAATAATATTGCGTAGTTTTTAATTGAATTAATTGTCTTTCGCTGGAAAAAGTTCGTTACGTATTACTAACAATTAGATATTGAGGCTTCTATCGTTTCGAAAGCTTGATAAACCGCCTGTAGCTTGAAACGAGATCAGAATTCAAAACCTCTAAATGTGAAATGAAGGAAATGTTGTATAATGTATAACTTTGAAATATAATTACATTTTGATAGCTGTATTAAAAAAAAAAACAATTTCTTTGCTAATAGAAGCAACAATTATTGTACACCTAAAAGTCAGAGCAATCGAAATAAAATATAATATTCCCATTTTAAGTCATTTATTCCAAGTGTTGATTTCATATCGAACCCAGTGGAGAAGTTCTGTGTTCAGAGAGGTACTTTCCGCTGAGAAAAGTTTTAAACCTATTTTAGGCTCCAACTGCAGCTGCACATATTTAGGATTAGGTCATGGTATGTGTGCCTCCCTTCCCGAGTCGCACTTTTCCCGTCCGGAAAAGCAGACTGTGAAGCATATGCACATGTCAGGCGCAAGGGCGCGTGCCATTTTGTCTCCAACCTCTTTGGAGTGCTTATTTTTAGTTATCGGGTGGGGATCTCGAGCAGTTTGCTCCAGCGGGCCTGAGATTTGGGGAGGATGTGGAGAGTTTATTTTTGGACCTTGGTATTCCTCCGACTGGGGTGTGTTGAAAATAGACATAAACAAAATTTCAGATGGCGGCCCTGCCAGCGGTGCTCCCATTCTCCCATTCCTCCCCAGGCCAACATCAAATGTCACCCTCTACAGAACGATTCCACATCCACACCCGTGATACGGGGTAATTATAGAGCAGCTGCACGCTCGAGTCCGAGTGCATAACAAAAATCCGCTTGGAGCCCGAGCCCGAGTCAATGATTATGGGTATTTATAGTCATGGCGCGTTGTTTATAAGGGGAAAGTGTGCGTTGCATATGTCTGATATCCACCGGATGTGCATGGTGATGCCGATGTACACACAATGCAGCCCCAGGAACATCCTTGTGGCAGCTGTATAGATTCTCCATTTCACATCACATCACTCTTAACTTTGTTTCATTGCATACGCAACAGACGACGGAGAAGGTCACGTTGGAACCGTTTGCGAAATCGGACGTTGCGGATCGACGCATTCACCGGAAAACACTGTCGTGGTCAACTGGGATTCCGGACACCGGACCAACTACCGTGTGGGTTACCAGAACCAGTACGACTTGATAATAGTAGATAATGCACAAGTTGGTAAGTGACAATACAAAATCGTATAAGAAACATTTCTATATTTGATTGGACATTTTTTTACTTAATAAATTCGCAAGTAATTTCTAATTTTTTAAATTATTCAAATTTCAATTATTTATAGTTCATTGTTTATTTTGATTATTCATTTGCAGGGGTTCGTCACTCAAATGTCGTCTGCGATGGCTGTTCCAAGGCGGGTATCGCTGGCATAGTATTCAAGTGCGCCCAGTGCCCCAACTATCACCTGTGCGCCTACTGTTACGCAGAGGATCTGCACGAGTTGGAGCACCCGTTCATCCGCTACACCACTCCCAACTCGCTGGGCGTAAGAGTGTCCATGAGAAAGGGTGCCAGGCGCATCCAGCTGCGAGGCATCTTTGTGGGTTCCAAAGTGGTGCGTGGTCCTGATTGGGAGTGGAACGAACAGGACGGCGGAGAGGGCAGAACGGGTCGGGTAATGGAAATCCGGGGCTGGGACAACGAATCGTGTCGCAGCGTGGCCAACGTATCGTGGGTTACCGGATCTACGAACGTCTACCGTCTAGGTCACAAGGGTAACGTGGACCTCAAGTACATAACGGCCACTTGCGGCGGACACTACTACAAGGACCACATGCCTGTTCTGGGTCAGCCAGAGGAGTTGCAGCCAGTGGCGCCCATGGTGAAGCCAAGCTTTTCTGTGGGCGACCGCGTCAAGGTTTGCCTAGAGGTTGACGCCTTAATGAAGTTGCAGCAGGGCCATGGAGGATGGAATCCGCGCATGGTCGAGCATTTGTCCAAACTGGGCACCGTACATCGCATCACGGACAAGGGGGATATACGGTAAGAATACACAATATATTGCATTTTATTTCAGTTTCTAACACAATTCAAATCCAAACAGTGTTCAGTATGAAAACTGTCCCAATAGATGGACCTTTCATCCCGCCGCTCTCGTTAAGGTTGTTTCTTTTCGTGTCGGTGACCTGGTCACCATCATCAACGATGCCAATAAAGTGCAGCAGCTGCAGAAGGGTCACGGCGAATGGATCGAAATCATGCGACACGTGAGTTCAGACTGTGTAAAAACATTTTTTTTCTAATATATTCTTCATATAACGTTTCGTAGGCCCTTGGAAAAATTTGCAAAGTCGTGAAGGTGTACTCGGACGGCGACCTCCGCATCCAGCAGTTGGACGACGGTTTCGAGTGGACCCTGAATCCGAAATGTGTCAAACTAGAGCGCTCTCCATTAGCGACTGCAGCTGAGCGCTCCAACAGTATGATGGACCTGAGCCACCGACGCGCAGACCACGTAATGACACCGCTCTCAGGCCTCTCTGGTAGTTCGGTCGCCGACAAGCTAGTGCGAGAGGCTGCCCAGGGCCATTTGGATTTCGTGCGGCAGTACCTGGACGTGAATCCCAGCCAGGTGGATGTGATGAGTGGCGGCAAGGCTTGTATTCAAGTTGCCTCGCACCAGGGCTACGTCGATCTTGTCAGCTACCTCATCTCCAAGGGTGCCAACGTGAATGCGGTTGACAAGGAAGGTGATTCCGCTCTACACTACGCAGCCTTCGGCAACCAGCCGGCCACCATGCGAGTGCTGCTGCAGCACGGTGCTGAGGTGAACTTCCTGAACTCAAGCCACTGCTCCGCACTGCACATCTGCGCGCACAAGAAAACTCCGCACTGTGTCCGGGAGTTGCTGCAGCACAATGCCAACGTCAACATTCAGGACTCGTACGGAGATACGGCGCTGCACGACGCTATCGGCAAGGAAAATACAGAAGTTGTGGAGTTGCTTTGTAACGCTCCGAATCTTGACTTTACGGTTAAGAATAATCGTGGCTTTAACGTGCTCCACCATGCAGCGCTTAAGGGAAACGTGGTAGCTGCTCGTCGTATCCTGTTGCTCTCCCGCCAGCTGGTCAATGTGCGCAAAGACGATGGTTTTGCGGCTCTTCACTTGGCAGCCCTAAACGGTCATGCCCAGGTTGTTGAAACGCTGGTCACTGAGGGTCAAGCGGAGTTAGATATACGTAACAATCGCCAACAGACGCCTTTCCTACTGGCCGTCTCCCAGGGCCATGCCGGAGTAATCGAGCGACTCGTTCGCCTCTCCTGCGACGTGAATGCCAAGGACGAGGACGGCGACAATGCGATGCACTTGTGCGTCATTAAGAAGTCCAATCTGCAGTCGGCCGCTGAGCCTCAGCCAGAGGAGGCACCAGAGATTCACAAGTTTTACCTGAGTCTAGTGCAGACAAGCGTTCGGCCCGAAGATCGTTTGATGTACAGTATCCTGATCTATCTTTCGAGGTCCGGCTGCCGAGTGGAGCTGAACAACGCCAATGCAAGCATTTTTGAGTGGATAACGGACCGCAACATCAGGCAACTGATTTTCGGGCAGCAGGGCGAAGCCGAATCGCTGCCTAGGAATCTTCAAGCCTTGGACGTGTCTGCTGTTTCAGCCGCCAGTGAGGAATGCTCTGCGGCTGCTGGAGCTGAATCCGATGGGGCCGGGCCTGGAAGCGTTGCAGCACCTCCACCACCGCAGCGGCTGCAATTTGAACTAATGCCAAAGCCAAACGATATCCCAACCGCTGGAGTAGGAGCAGCTCCATCCACGCCCTCTGCCTCGCCGGGCGTGAAGAAACTGAACTCCGATGCAACACAGCAAAACGTCTCTCCACAGGTGGCACCGCGCAAAAAGGCGCCCAAGCCTCCGGTTACTTCTAGCTCCAGCAGCACGGCGTTGGAGGCCGGAGCTGCGGGCCCCAGTCTCAGTCCGGTAATCGTGTCCGGTCCGCTGGAGTGCATTGTCTGCAATGAGATCCTGCAGCTGGTGCGCTTTGAGCCGTGTCAGCATCAGATCGCCTGCGAGGAGTGCGGCATCCGAATGAAAAAGTGTCTCCGCTGTGCAGTGGTAATCGAGCGGCGATTGACGGTCAACGGCCGGGTAGTGGCCCTGCCCACGTCCACGTCGTCACCTAGTGACCCCACACGCCTACCGTCCGGGGATCTACTTCGCTATCTGGAGAACAAGGTGCAGGAGTTTGAGGAGTCGCACTTCTGCGGTATTTGCATGGAACGTAAGAGGGACGTGGCCTTCCTGTGCGGGCACGGCGCGTGCTCCCATTGTGCCGAAACGCTCCGGACATGCCACATGTGTCGCAAGACAATACTCAAAAAGATTAACCTGTACTGAGCGGCTGAAACGGAAACGAAAGGACAGGCAGGATCAGCAGCAATTCAACCAGCAACCAAAGTGGCTTGTATATATACATACACAAAACAAACACTCACCCACATTGCCGTGTCATGTGAAACTCTAACTAATTATTTATTGATTATTGATCACAAAATTTAAGCGTTCTTTTTGAATCAAAGCAAATTATTGTGCACCTTCTCGTGTCTAGTTATTAGCCCCGTTTAACCATGTCTGGTAACGATAAATACATAGGAAACAAACTAAAGCATACAATTATTTAATAGTCATTTAAATGCAAATATACAAATATAAAATTATTCAATCAAGTGAATTTTAATCGAATTCGGTGGTTAGCCAACGGAAATAAAGATACTTTACTTTCTGAATATAATGGGTTAACTTTCATTTGTGTATACAAAATGGTATCTAAACGTTTAATTTGAAAATTTGTATATTTTTCAGGTTGGATAATATATATAGGAGGATACTTAAAAAACGATTTTAAAACTCGGATGCTTGGACGGTCTTATGCGGCAAGTGTGAAAAAGATATTTTTCTATTACTTTTTTTTTTTGCTTAAATTTCAAAGGTTTCGAATTTTTTGGAAGCATTAGGTTCAGCAAACTTTATCGGATCTTAAGCTTCGTTTAAAAGTTCATTTAAACGAAAGCAGCAAAGTAAAACATATCATTGAAAATAAAAACAAGTTTTTTTTTATTTGACCGAAACAATCGATATCTTTAAATTCACGGCTATCGATAGCTAAGCAGCAAGAAAAAAGCAAACACGTCACAACACTTTGGCTGCAGTCCAACGTAAAATTGAAGTACAGGACAAAATGGCCAAACAAGTAGCGGATTTCCAGTGCAGTAAGCTCCAGTTCTACCAGAAGCTAGCACTGGCCGTAATCCTAGGAGCAGTGCTTTTCTCTCTCCCGGCAATGTGCGCCGGCCAGGGCAATCCCAGTTTCAAATACTCGCGGGAAGCCAACGAAAACTTCGATCCGCAGAAGGCTCCACGGCCGGAGCACCATCATGATCATGATCATGACCACGATCATGGGCACCATCACCACGGGCACGATCATGACCACGATCATGGACACCATCACCACGGGCACGATCATGAGCATGATCACGACCACGGGCATGATCACGGACATCATCACCACGGGCACGATGAAAGGCACACCAAGTCAAAGCCGGATTTGGGTAATCCACGACCTAACACGCTTAGAATGCACTAGTTGACCCCAATTTTTTGTAGATATGAGAACCATTTGGCTGCACTCCATCGGCTCAACACTTCTTATCAGTGCCGCTCCGTTCGTGCTACTGTACATCATACCCTTAGACAACAGTGAGGCTATGAAGCCGCGACTTAAAGTTCTTCTGGCCTTCGCTTCTGGCGGCTTGTTGGGCGATGCTTTCCTGCACTTGATTCCTCATGCCACGCATCCACACAGTCATGGGGAGCACGGCCACGATCACGGTCATGATCACCATCATCATCATGAAGGCGAGGAGCATGAACATGCTCATAGCCACGATATGAGCATTGGTCTGTGGGTCCTTGGAGGAATCATTGCCTTCCTTTCGGTTGAGAAACTGGTACGCATTCTAAAGGGCGGTCAAGGAGGACACGGCCATAGCCATGGAGCACCAAAGCCAAAACCCGTGCCTGCTAAGCAAAAGTCTTCTGGCAAAGAAGACAGCGGAGATGGAGACAAACCGGCAAAGCCAGCCAAGACCAAGTCCAAGAAACCAGAAGCGGAGCCAGAGGGTGAAGTGGAGATTTCCGGATACTTGAATTTAGCGGCGGACTTCGCTCACAACTTTACCGATGGTTTGGCCATCGGCGCCTCCTACTTGGCAGGCAACAGCATTGGCATTGTTACTACTATTACCATTCTGCTGCACGAAGTGCCCCACGAGATTGGCGACTTTGCCATTCTAATAAAGTCTGGCTGTTCTAGGCGAAAGGCAATGCTTCTCCAACTCGTCACAGCCCTCGGAGCTTTGGCGGGCACAGCGTTAGCTCTTCTGGGAGCTGGAGGCGGCGACGGATCGGCCCCATGGGTCTTGCCCTTCACCGCTGGCGGTTTTATTTACATTGCAACAGTGAGTGTCCTGCCGGAGCTGCTGGAGGAGTCCACCAAACTGAAACAGTCCCTAAAGGAAATCTTTGCGCTGCTCACCGGCGTAGCCTTAATGATAGTTATCGCCAAGTTCGAGTAACATCAAAAGTGGGGAGAGCAAATGCAAAAAGCATCTAATTGCGTGAACTGAAAGTATGCCGCAAACAATTTTAAAGATTGCTTATCATTTCCTACTCAAAACGATGAGCATGTATTTAAAAAATGTATATTCCAACATTCAGTGACCGCAATTATTTCTCAATATAACCAAGGCGGCGTTATTTAAGAGTTTCTAAGCCTTCCAAATTAGTGTTTCACTTCGAAATGAAATTTTTATAAATAGTCAAAAATACACTGTAAAAAAACCTCACTGCCGCTTCTCTCCATTTAGGGTGCTCTTTATCTCGTCGAGACAATACTCGGCCTGCTCTATGGCATCGGGATTCTGGTGCTCCTTGCCCAGTTTCCACGCCAGTCGGCAAGCCTGCTCCGCTTGCGACATCAGACCCTCGCGAAGATACACCAAACCAAGATTTGCCTGCAGAATACCTTCCTGTGTGGCATCCTTTAGCTCCTTAGCAAGTTCCATGGCCTGCAAAAGGGTCTCCCTTGCCTCGGTGTACTTTTCTAGCTGTAAGTAATCTAATGTATTTCAAGTACTTTGGATGAATAGGTTAACCTACGTTTACGTACGCCACGCTGATGTTATTTAGGATGGTTACAGAGGCGTCGTTCACAGCGCCATAAACATTTATGAGCGTGTCGAAGGCCTCCTTAAATAGATTTTTAGCCTCCAGATACTTTCCCTGCTTCATCAGCAGCTGGCCGAACCTGGAAAATAAGCACATTGACTGGAACTGTAAGTGCGAGCTTGGCTAGCGGCAATGCAAACACCTTCAATACCAGTTCTTTGTCAAGCCATACAGCTCCAGTATGTCCTTGTCGTCGGGCATTTTCTCCAGTAGCTTAGCCAATTGTTGCAAGGTCCAAGTGAACCCTTGAAAGCTCTTTTCCAGATCACCTTGCAGCTGAGACATATGTGCTATCTTGGAGCTTATGTGAAGTATCTACAAATGAAAAAGATCTTAACTGGTTAGAGTCTCTAAGGGGGTCACCCACCTTGGGACTCTCTTCGGTGTGACCGTCGGCAAACAGGCGTTTCATCACGTCCGTGAATATCTTCTCCGCCTTCTTAAACTGCTCCCGTTCCATGGCCAAATTGGCCATCAGATCAAACACATAAGTGATGCCGTCCTTGCTCTGAATATCCTGCGCCATTCGCAGAGCCAGGTGGAGCATTTGCTCGGCCTTGTCGTACTGTTCCCTCTGAATGCAGAGGATTGATCGCTTGATGGTCGTGATCAGCTTGTCTTCTGGAGTTTCCTCCTTTTCGTCAGCGCCACCAAACAGGTTCAGAGTGAAGGCAGCGGAAAAAGCCCAAAGCAGTCCGCCTGAAGAACCTGAAGCGTGTGGAGCTATCCAGGCCACCTGGTAGCCCCCAGCATTGGCGCACAGCGGTCTAGATCCGAATTCTGACCGTTGGTGATAACGGCTTCTCTTCAGCGGCGCAAGATGACAGTAATCTCTCGGATTCGCGGCAACGCGGAACCTGCCCATAACTTGGGTAAACTTGCAAATATTTTTCACTAACATGTTTTGGAGCTTAATTAATTTTTTAACTAAAACCTAAAACCTTGCAGGTACGGTATTAAAAATTATGAAATAGTACGTGTATAGTGTTGCAAAGCGTGGTAAAGTCGTTTTAAAAGTACATTTTGTAACGCCCGAGTACATATAACACTTTTACATAATTTATATTTTATCACACTTAAACAAATATTATTATGTTTCGTTAAGATTTCATAAACAAAGCCTTTTTTTTAAATTTCTTAGAGATGACACTGTTCAACAAAACTTTATCGGCAATTTCGGTTCTTATCATTTCGATTATAACTTAAATTTACAAACAAAAATCAATTGATATCTGAGTAATTCACAATCTTAAAATAGAAAACATCGGAATATGTTTAATAAACTTTGTTATAATATACTTCCCTCTCTAATCGCATACGAAACTATCGATAGCCGTCACTCGAACGATAGACCGAGCAGAAGCATCCCTGCATATTGATGGCGGATTGACGCTCTTTCGCCTAGCAAAATTATTTTTCTTATCAAGAAAAGGTGCAGAATATTACGAGTGCATTCGAAAAGCAGTGCATGAAATAGCTGTGGGTCCGCCGGCTGTACCTACGTTTTATTTCAGATCTTTCCAGTGTCGCAGGTCGTTTCCAGCGTTTTTCGGCCAGCCATGAGACGTCGCAGCGAGCGAAAAAAGTCGTCGTCGCCCGCTCCGGTGCCGGTGGCCGTTGCACGGCGAAGCCGCCGCTCCCGCAAGGTGTCAGAGACCGAGAAGACTGAGGTCGAAACTCCGGTCGTGGCCCAAAAGGATAAGGAGCCCGATTGCCCCGAAGTGCCGCAAGCCTCTCAAGAAGTCAATGAGGTGCGTGCCTCCAGTGAAGAACGTGCCGGATCTGGACCATCGCCAGTGCGCAGGAGTCGCGGCAGCCGGACGACGCCCAAAAAGCGCACGGAGTCCAAGGGTGGCGACAAGAAGGTGGACACCATACCAGAGGAGGAGACGGAGAACGGAAAGGAGGGAAAGGACGCTGTCGAGGAGGAAAAGTCTGTAGCGCCGCCGGCTAATCAGAGCGAGTCCGAAGACCTTGTCAAGAAGGAGGATCAGCAGGCTCAAGACAATGGATCCGATCCAGAACCCGCTGTAGTCAAGGATGATAAGGATGAGAACGAGGACCTAAAACCGCAGCAGGACGTTCCACCTTGCACTGATGACGACACCAAGCAGAGCGAGCCAGAACAAGAGGTAAAGGTTCCTTCTCCTTCCAGCAAGGGTGAGGAACATCTAAAAACGTCTAGCGATGTATTAGACATTCAGACAGAAGAGGTCGATGAAAGGGACGAAGAAGCCTCCGCTCCTGCGGATCGCAGAGAAACCAAGAAAAGGCACAAGGAGCAGATACAGGAACAGCAGCCCGTTGAGGAGGAGGAGCAGAAGGAAAACCGCAAGCAGCTAGAGGAAAAACCAGAACAAACTCAGGATGAACCAGCAGATCTCTCCAACGACAAGCACGAGCCATGTCTAAATAGCACCGCAACCAACACAACCGGCGCTCCAGTGCTGCAACGGTCGGTGCGGAAGCGAAAGTGGCTGACAAATAAAAAATCTTCGGATCGGACCCCACCCGTGCTTGCCATTTCGACGGATTCCCTGAAGAACATAATAGCCGATGTGGTGCAGCCAGTGCCTCTAAGCGATGTGCAGCTGGAATCCTCTTCAGAGGAGGAAGGCCTGGTCACCAGCGATCGAGATTCAGAGCGATCTGCTTCGCCGGCACCCGCATCTGAAGCTAGCAAAGATCGCGAGAACAAGGCAAATACCGCCACCACCTGCGAGACCGGCGCAGAGGGGTCGGTAGATAATGAAGAAGCAGGAGCCGTTCCTCCAGCAGCAACAGACGCGGTGCCGGCTCAGGTCGGCCTGACCAAAGCCACAGTTTCCACGGCAGCACCACACATAGTCGGTGACCCTAGTCCTGCGCGAAACCGAACCAGCCACGTGCTCTATATCACCAATTTGGTACGCCCCTTCACAGTGCTGCAACTGAAAGGCCTGCTGGCGCGGACGGGAAAGATCGTCGAGGAAGATGGTTTCTGGATAGATCGCATCAAGTCTAAGTGCTATGTTGCATACTCCACTGAAGAGTAAGTATTGTAGTTTTGAAAATATTAGCTCATATCCAGAGAGTCTTTGATATGTTTAAACAAAACTCACACTTGCAATTCTGTTACTTTTTACCCTTTAAGCGAGGCTATCGAAACCCGACATGCCCTGCACGGAGTTCGCTGGCCAGTCTCAAATCCCAAATGTTTGAATGTAGATTTTGGCAGTCGCACTGACATGGATCGTGCAATACTTTCAACGAAAGACGAGGCTCCGAAGTACGGCCAGGAAAACACCAGAGATAACCAGCAGTCGGGCAACGCTTGGTCTCGGTTGGAACCGTCTGACAAAAAAGTAATAGATTATTGCCATTGCAAGAAATCCAAAAGCTTATTTGTTTTTTTTCTTCAGCCAGCGCGCCCCGTACGCGAATGGGATGTGGGCAAAAAGGAGCCAAGCGACCACGACAAACACAGCAACGACAGGCGTCGGGAGAGCAAGGATCGACTGGACTCGAGGTCTCGGGATGCGGAACGTGCCGGACAGGAACGAAAGCGTTCGAGGGACAGAGAGGGACGGGGACGCGAACGGGAGCGAGAGCGAATTGATCGCAATGCACACGCCAGAAGCCGCAGTGGATCACCAGGTAAAACCCGTGGGATATGTTTTCTTGTCATGATAAATACAGAAACACCCCATTTTATTAGCTTCCAAATCTAAGAAGAAGGAGAATGAACCGCCTATCAGACTACTAGATGATCTATTTCGAAAGACTAAGGGAACACCTTGCATATACTGGCTGCCACTGACGCCGGAAGCGGTAAGTTGCTTAGATAAACAGTTCATAGTTCCATTCAACGAGAAACACTTATAGTCAAGCCCGTCTGAACTATAAACTTTCTTCCGTATTTTCAGATCGCTGAAAAGGAGGCATTCCGCCAGAAACGCATCGAGGAGCACAAGCTGCGTATAAAGGAGCGAGAGGAGCGCCAGAAAGAGCGTGAGAAGGATCGTGACCGCCAGCGCGACACTCGTCGGAATCGTTCTAATGAACGGCGACGATCTCGCAGTCGCGAGCGGGAGCGAAGACGTTACTAGGCGGAGGCTTGAGATTGAGCAAATAAATGTTGATAATATCTCAAAAACTAACATCAACATATAAAAAAAAAACTTCAAAAAACAGCAACTAAAACTTCAGCAGGGTCTCATCACCACCCGAACATTTTCTATCCTTTCGAGCGTTTTGCGTTCCAAAATATACCGACGTTTGTAATATTCAACTTGAAGTGAACAGACTTCAATTTGAATATTTTCGCCAACGTCCCATCCACATTCTGATTTTGAGATTTTGGACTCTCTTTTCTTCGTTATTTTGCTCATTGTTGTTGTTCCATATATATATAGCATATATATTTCCATATATATATATATAACCTGATTTGATTTCTTTCCTCAAATGTAGCATTTTACAGCGCCTAACGTCACCTCACCCCAAAAAGAAAGCACAGCAACCAGAAATGCGCCGGCATCAGCATCAACGCCATGGAAACTTACCATCGGATTCTAGAAACTCTTGCAGCAAGTTACCATGCTAACATCTATTTAATAAACATAAAATAATTGATTAATGTATTGTAAAATCAATATTTCTTAAAATTTTAATGAACTTAGAAATACAATTTAACATCAGTCGGCAAGCTTGTGACAATGCCAAAAAAAAACCATAAATGTGTTTTAAATGTCTGAGAAATTAACTTTTGGAACTCATAGAATTGTGCGTTTATATCTACCAAAAGAATGTAACGCAAAATAAAGAAAGGGTTTGTTTTTGATTCGACAGAATCGTGATATATTGATTAGAACGTCAATACTCTGTAATTTCCAGCACGATTTATAGTATGCATATTTTTGCATTTAGTTATTTTTCCCAAAAACACTGTTTTTAAAGTTAAGCCGTTACGAAACCAGAATGCCCCCAATAAAACGTTAGTCTTAATCGATAGTCCATGTTAATAAGCTATCGGAAACGCTTAATGATTTATATCACTATTGTTATCGATGAGTTTTAATTTGTATCAGCATTAATTTAGTGAAAAAATGTGGTCCGACACAATATTAATTGTTTTTATATCGGTTTGCACCGCCTTTCTGGGCGAAGGTAAGTGAAAGGTCAGTTATTTTAATCAACTCTAAAAATTATTTTGCTTAGGACTCACCTGGGTGATGGTTTACCGGACGGAGAAGTACCAAAAGCTAAAGACCGAGGTGGAAAAGCAGAGCAAAAAGCGTAAGTCGGTCAAAGGGTGCAAGAATGGTCGCGAGCTAACCCGCATTTTATTGCAGTGGAGCGCCGCAAGGAGATCCATGGGGATTCCCTGGACAAAGCGGTGAAGAAGAAGATCGAGCGCGACGAGGAAAAACTGAAAAACAACAATCGCGATCTTTCGCTGGTCAAGATGAAGACTATGTTCGCTACGGGATTTGCCTTCACCGCCCTGTTGAGTATGTTCAACAGCATTTTCGACGGCCGTGTGGTTGCCCAGCTGCCCTTCACACCCATCTCCTGGATCCAGGGACTAAGTCACCGAAACTTGTCCGGGGATGACTACACGGACTGCTCCTTTATATTCCTCTATATCCTGTGCACCATGTCTATTCGTCAGAACATCCAAAAGCTTCTGGGCTTTGCCCCATCACGCGCCGCCAGCAAGCAGGGCGTAGGTCTGTTTGGTCCTGCTCCAGGCCAGTTTAAATAGTTCAAATTCATAAATTAAATTAGCTGCATTTAGTTTTAATGCACCATCAACAATTCTAGCTTAAAACATTATTCAACTCGTACATGGGCTGGTCAATAATCAGCCGGTCGAAGCTTAGACGAGAGAGGTCGATAGTTCTAAACTGCCCATCCATAATCAGCTCGGATATGGCTCGGCCCACAGCTAGAGATTGTTGTGCTCCGTGCCCGCTAAAACCGGTGGCTAGGTACAGATTGTGGTAGTACGGGTGGGCTCCCAAAATGCCGTTCTCGTCGTATACATTGTGATCGTAGCAGCCCGCCCAGCTATCCACCACTTGCGCTTCTCCAAGAACGGGAATTCTATTTGACAAATGGGGTCTAATGTGCCGGTTGAAATATTGCGAATCAACCGGCGCGTTATGATTCTCTTCCATCGAATCATGCGCGCAAATGTAGTTGCCGCTGAGGCCATCTCTGCGGATAAAGATGCCCGACGAATCTATTGTCATGGGCATGGTCATTCCGGGTGCACTTTGGGCCTGCGAGTTGATGGCGTACATGTACCGCTTGTGTGCGTTAATGGGTAGTGGAACCTGGAGTATTCCTGGACCCACGCCTATCTTTGCTAATCGCGCGACTTGTTCGGAACTAGCACCGGCGCTTATTACACACAAGGCGAACTTGCAGGTGCGTCGCGTGCCATCAGGCAGTTGGATGACCGCTGTCTCCAGACCCGTGTAGGAACCCTCCTTGGAACCAATATCTCCGACCACAGAAATGTCCATTTGGGATTTGTACTCGAAGTCGACCACCTGCCCACTGACGAAATGGGCGCCGTAGCCGCTGGCTGACCGACGGAAATTGCTAAGAAGGGCCAAGGGATTAAACCAGCCCTCTTTTTCCAGGCCATGACAACCCAAAGCGATGCCAGTGGTATTAAGCCAGGGAAATCGAACCGCCAATCGATCTGCAGTGAGAAGTTCATTTCGGGCACCCAGTTCGTTTTGAAGCTGAGAGGAGCGCATTAGGCTTTCCGCGTGTTCCTCGCCAGCGAGCATCAAATGGCCATGGGGCGTGAACTGGAGAGGCACATCCTGACCAAAATGTTTTTTTGCGTTTCGCAAGAAGTCGGCGGCAAAGAGTGACATTTGGATGTTTTCGGGCAGGGAGAATTGCTGACAAAGACCGCCCACAGAGACACGAGTGGCGGACTGGGCATACTGTAAATATATGGAATACCAGTTAAATATTTGGGGTACACTGCTACACATCATTCAACTACCGTGTCATCCTTCTCGACCACTACAACGTTAAGACCGTCACGGGCTTTCTCCTTCAGCCAGTAGGCGATAGAGCTGCCCACGCCCCCGCCGCCAATGATGAGCACATCGCAATGGGTCTGGAAGTCATCCGGCAGAGTAGGTTCCTTGCTCTTGTCCCGCTCTCCCTTAAAATGGAACTTGCTCTGTGTCGGAATGGGATCTATGTGGGTCGCCGTTTCCTTGGGCACAAAGAACTCCTTAACTTTGCGCATATCGTTGCCGAGCAAACGGAGTGTTCGTCGTATCGGATGCAGATCATCGTCGGATTTTTCGCCTCCGGAAGAGCCACATCCATTGCTCGCTGCTCTGACCGAGTATTTACTGTGCTGAAGGAGACGCACTACTTGTCTGTACCGCAACATTTTATTCTATATTATATCTTAATTCATAATCCGTATATTTGATTAAATGTGTTATTTTGTAATAGTGATAACGTACGATGTTATCGGATTATCGATATCGAAAAAGCTTAACGGATTTGCAGTAATTTTTTTTATTGCAATTCAAATAAAAATACACTTTCAGCGTGGGAGTAATTTAAGAAATTCTTAAGAAAATAATGCAAATTAAGGCAGTCAAAGTTCAATATCGTTACTACAAAATATCAGAAATATCTTTTTATAACCTATGATACTATGATTTTTGCTTAGTGTGTCGTAAAACACATCGATAAATGGTTTAACGTAACGTAAGACCTAACCGCACTGTTAACCAACTATATTTTCCAGCACTGTCTGTAGCCGAAAAGAAATACGAAGAAGAAGCGACATTACTAGGCATTTTTGATTGGGATTGGGAAAACAAAAGAAAAGTCGGCTATATTTTGACTCTAGTAAATTGAGAGTTTCATTACAACATGACTAACGCAACGGACATCGGTGCTCACGACGTGGAGATGGAGGTGGATCCAACGGCGGAGACGCTAGCTGACGAGAAGAAGAACCAAGATGTGGCCGCTGTGCAAGAGATCCGCGAGCAGTTTCGTCAGATTGAAAAGGGGGTGGCCTCGAAGGAGTCGCGGTGAGTAGTGCTAGCTTTATAATCTTGTCCCGTCTTCATTTCCTTTCCGCCGACAGCTTCATCCTGCGCGTCCTTCGCAATTTGCCCAACACTCGTCGCAAGCTGAACGGCGTCGTATTTCGGAATCTTGCCCAGAGTATTTATCCTGCTGGTGCAGATCGTGAGGCGGCCGTGGCTTTAATGCCCGCTGTGGAGAAAGACGCCACCGAACTGCCAGATGTTCCCAAAAAACAAGTGGCCACCAAGGCCCCAATCGCCGAGGTGGATGCCTACTTCTATCTGCTCCTGCTGGTCAAACTCATCGACGCCAGTGATTTAAAGCGGGCAGGAATTAGCGCCGATGCCCTAATGGCCAAAATCTCCATCCAAAACCGACGCACCCTTGATCTGATTGGTGCCAAGTCCTACTTCTATTTTTCAAGAGTGGCGGAGCTAAAGAACTCTTTGGAAGGCATTCGCGCATTCCTGCACGCACGTTTGAGAACTGCTACGCTGCGTAACGATTTTGAAGGACAGGCAGTGCTGATCAACTGTCTGCTTCGCAACTACTTGCACTACGCTTTGTATGACCAAGCAGACAAGCTGGTAAAGAAGTCCGTCTATCCGGAATCGGCCAGCAACAATGAATGGGCGCGTTTCCTGTACTATCTCGGTCGCATCAAGGCCGCTAAGCTGGAATACAGCGATGCCCACAAGCATCTGGTCCAGGCCCTGCGTAAGTCCCCGCAGCACGCTGCCATCGGCTTCCGCCAGACTGTTCAAAAGCTAATTATCGTTGTGGAGCTGCTTTTGGGCAACATCCCGGAACGTGTGGTGTTCCGGCAAGCCGGTCTGCGCCAATCTCTTGGTGCCTACTTCCAGCTCACGCAGGCCGTGCGTCTGGGCAACTTAAAGCGCTTCGGCGACGTGGTATCGCAGTACGGACCCAAGTTCCAACTGGACCACACATTCACCCTGATTATACGGCTGCGCCACAATGTGATCAAGACGGCTATCCGCTCTATCGGATTATCGTACTCGCGCATCTCGCCGCAAGATATTGCCAAGCGGCTAATGCTAGACTCCGCGGAGGATGCCGAGTTTATTGTATCGAAGGCTATACGGGATGGCGTGATTGAGGCTACGCTGGACCCTGCCCAGAACTTTATGCGCAGCAAGGAAAGTACCGACATCTATAGCACCCGGGAACCGCAGCTGGCCTTCCACGAGCGCATCTCGTTCTGTCTGAACCTGCACAACCAGAGCGTTAAGGCCATGCGCTATCCTCCAAAGTCCTACGGCAAGGATTTAGAAAGCGCCGAGGAGAGACGGGAGCGGGAGCAGCAGGACCTTGAGCTGGCCAAGGAGATGGCCGAGGATGATGAGGATGGTTTCTAAGCGGCTGATTCTGCAAATTAATTTGTGCTTGCATTCATTTTTATAGAAATATAATCCGCAATTAATAAGTTACAATATTTTCGGAACTTTTAATTAGGCCTTAGGCTTCTACCTTGCTATGCAGATAAAAAAAAATAGTTCAAACCTTATCTTTTGTTTTTACATGAGTAAAATAATTTTATTAACGTAGCTAATAAACAAAAAATTTCAGTCTTTAAGACCTCTTTCAAATCATTGAGAATATGTCTGGTTAATTGCTTGCTGAAAAGATATCTTTAACAGAAAAGTAAAAAAAAAAATTTAAAACAATATCATCCCCTTGGCAGCCCTAACGCGATAATTTAAATAGCTTTAGATGTCTGGCAACATCGATTCTTTGTCTTTTTTAGATATTGTACTTCTGTGCAAGCTAATTGTATTATATTAAAGATTCTGTACGTAAGTACATTTGCAGGATTTTTATCTTAATAATATGTGTACAAAAATACGAAATAATTTTTTTAAACACGACTTTCAAGAAAAAACACACTTTTTATTTCGAACATTTTGGTCGGTATCATTAACGGTCACACTGGCGCAAACAACACAAACAGCAGCCACGGTCACACCGAGCCGAAGTGGAAAAAAAGTTTTTGATAAAAAGGTGCACCACAATGCAAACCAATTAAAGGCTGTGCGCATTAAATGCTGAAATCCGCGATCTGACACACCATTTATTGTCGCCGGAAAAGTGCAAACGCGCGCCTAGGCAGGAATTTCGCGAAATTGCTGGTTTTTGTGGCAGCGGCGAGTAGTCTCCTCCGAATAACAGCGGCCGAACAGCGAGCGATTTTACGAAGCAGCGAGTGCCTGGCCAATGTGGTGCAGCCCCCCGCCACCCGCCGCCCGCGCACCCCCTAACCCGCTAACGCGCAAAATATACGCGACTAGTTGTAGTTGTGGGCAGCAGAGCAGCAGGAAAAGCAGCAGCAGCAGATCAGCTCGGCCTTTGTGAGCGGATTAGTGGCGAAGAAGCCAGCGAAAAGCCAATTAACAGTGCCCCGGGAAGCTGGGCCGGTGTCCAGAAGCGGATCCCAGCCAGCCTTCGACGATTCCGGCAGTGATGCAGCAGCAGCTGCTGCCACCTAACGAGATTCTGGACGCCTTTTGCACCCACCACACGTAACTAGAGCACTTACACCGACGCGCGTACACACACAGTCACACACATTCAGAGACGGGCCAACTGGCGAACGGGCACACTTGTGGGTGGCCATTGATGCAGTGCAGCCGCTTGCAGGGATTCGGGATCGGTAGGTGAAAAGGACTGGGACAAACGTGGAGATGATTTGCAAACAGGACGTGCTGCAGTGG